CCCCCCAGTCCTTCTCCTCAGGGCTGTCATCCCCCGAGGGACAACACAGAGGTGATTTGTGACACCGAGGGAGGGGGCTGGAACTGCTCTGCTCATCCAGCCGCGTGCACGCAGGCGCAGAGGAGAGCGAGGACAGCTCCGGCTCGTACTCCACAGCAAGGCAGCTGCAGGTACAACTGGGATCCGATGGAGCAGGAGAAACTCAGGGCTGGAACCGGAGATTGGGACAGCGAGAGGAGGGACACAGGTCACCGGAGCACAAAGGCAACACAACCCAGTGTGAAAGTGAAATTGTGGGAACCCAGGAAAGGCTGGGCTGCCTCTCTGTCCCCCTCTGAAATCAGCCCGTCCTTCCCACCAGCTGTGAAACATCCCACCGATGTGAAACATGACGTCTCCTGCCCAATTCCCTTTGGAAAGCCAGGAGAGGAAGGTACTGGTTCGGCTCCTGCTGGGTTTGGTTCAGATCCCTCTCCACGGCACAGATGTGGTGGTCCGCTGAGCCCCTGCCCCAAGGGGGACCAGCCCTAAAGCCTCAGGTTCTCAGTGGGAGGAGAATCCAACCCCAAATTCCCTGCCCTGCCGAGCGTGCCCCCTCCTGTACCCCCCCCACCCCTACCCTGCGGGAGATCTTAATCTTCTTGGTGCAGCCGTAGAACAAGTCTTCGAGGGAGAGGTAGAGATCTCGCACGATCGGGGGGTCTTGCTTCATCACTCCTCGTCCTCGCAGCCCTCCGAAGGGCAGGGTCAACTCCGAGCCGTCCTCGGCAAAGAACTCTGCACGAGCGAGCATGGGGGAGTCACCTCATTCGGATCAGAGCCCGGGCGGGGATCCCCTGGGGTCTTCTTACCATGAGCACCCCAAATATGCCACCAGAACCCTCCCATCTGCTTCTGCCTGGGACCATCCTCCTCCTCCAGCTGAAGGGTTTTTCTCCAGGAGTGTTTTTATCGTACATGTTTGCGGCGGTGTTGCTAACCTGACCCCTCTTTTTTGATGGAAATTCTCCAGGAAAAGGGTCACAATGGTCCAGGAAACAGTAGCTGGGGAGACCTGACAGCCTGAACCTGCACCCCAAGACCTCTCGCCCACCCCAGGCTGGGGGACGTCAGGATCTAACCTCCAAGAGCCGGAAACCAGCAGCCCCAGAGGGACCTGAGAGCAGCTGAGCAGGGAAACATCCCATAATGTTAAATCTCAGAGCTAGCAGTGACACCAGAGCCACAAACAGGGCCCAGGCCACCCCCCAGAGCCCCCCAACCTACCCGCAAAGGGGTTGTCTCCACCGAAGAACTCCCTGAAGACTCTGTCGGGGTTGTTGTGGAACACGTAGCCGGCAGTCCAGGGGTTGTCGTCACCGAACTCCAGGGGGATGCCGCCTTTGAGACCTTCTTCTCCAAATTTGTCGTAGATGCCTTTCTTCATGGCTTAGGGAAGAAGAAGTTGGGAATGGCCACGGTCTCCCACGCTGGGGGAGGGCCCGAGATCCAGGCTTTGCTTGGGAGGAGACTCCCCCACCACCCCGAGAACAGCAAATTGGGATGGGAGCAGGAAAATACGCCAGCTGCAGCCTGGCTGCGGGTCACAGAGCTGATGCCACCTCCCTGGATGTGACAGTGACCAGGGCTTCAGACCTCAGCACACCTCGAGCCAGAGCAGAGATGCTTCACCCGCGGTCCAGCCCCTCCTGCCCCTGAACTTCCTGGGAGAGAACCTCTGGGGTCCTCAGCACAGGACAGCCAC